GGCAGATCTTTTAGTTATCAGACATCTCTCAAGTGGAATCAACTATCAGTTTTAGTCTGTGAGGCAGACAGCCTGTCTACTCAAAACTGTCCTTTGTGATAAAGCTTATAGTTAGATTAGCTCTTGTTATCCTGAGCTATCTTTATAGTTATGCTGCTATAGGCTTAGACTGCTGGAGGACATAGGGACCACTTTTTATTATTCTTGTTCTATTCTGCAATTCTGCAGCATTTGTTAGTTTAACCTCTAACTTTATGTTATCTGCTTTTTCTGGTCATAGTTGCTTCATGTAGCCTGGTTCTTTTTGACTATGACACCATTATGGATTTTATTGTAGATGATAGGGTTGGGTCTTTCTTTTCCATTGTTTAGTCCTGTTTCTCTCCTAGATATAGCTATGGCCTCATCTTTTCCTATGACTAACTATGTGCTCTCCTTTATCCTTTATAACATGAAAATGAGCACATAGCTCATCTTTACTTTTATTTTCCTAAACAGAGCCATCTATGGAGATATTTTACCATTACCTTTTCTGCTGAAGGTTTTCCTGTCGCTACATTCTCATCTAGGGGGAGCGAATAATGATAAGTCAATGACTGAGCAATCAGCTGTTTTTCCTTTGACAGAAAACCTTTATTCAATCTGTCTGTGTGATTTGAACAAATTGTCTCTGTAAAGTGTCTTGGGATGACGTTGTACATTGGAGATAAATAAGTAAACAGAATTGATTAAAAGCACTATAAAAATAAAAGTTTTTTGACTGAACATACTTCCTATACATTTCTAAAAAAAAAAAAAAAAACAAGAGATGGGAACAAGATTTTTTTTTTAAGAATATCGATGTGATTCCTTGATAAATGACTAAAAGATATTAAGATTCTTACCCCAGACCCAGAGCGAGGATGTGCGATAGCAGCAGTGAGGGGATGAAGACTTTGAGAAATTCGGCAGAAAAGATCCCTCCTTTCTTCATGGCCCCGGTCTTCCTCATACTGAGTGTCACTGAGCGGCGAGGGTGGCGGAAATGAAACTCCCTGAAATAAAACAGTACATGGTGAGATGTGCTGCAGGTTTCATTCCATTTTTGGAAGATCAACCCTTTTTTCCTTACCTGTTGTTAAGTTTAAAAGTTATCACCATGGCAATAATGAATTAAGAGTTTTGTTTCTGTTCCTTAAAGAGCTGAAGGAGCAGGGAAGTTTCTAACAACCCTAAAAAGCTTGCATTAGCACCCCCAACAGGTTACATGTAGAACAGTAAAATGTTCTGTTTCTTCAGAAGAAACACAAAGAGCAGGAGTCCATCACTGCAATTTGGAAGTAATTTAAGATCATAAATTCAAACCCTTCAAACTCTATTTATGAAAGGACTGAGCTCAACCTACCAGAAAACCAAGACATAGGGTCAAATGGTCTGCAGTATTTTCCTGCAACTTTTATAATCCAAAGAGTCCGTTTTACCTTTAGTCAAGGGAAATAAAACTTGTGGAAATATTTAACTGTTTCATGACCTCAAAAGGAAGTTTTTTTCTTCACTTTTTATAAATATAGTCTGTAAGAAATCATGTAATAAAAAAAAAAAACACCTAATTCTTAAATTTGGTGTTAATGATATTAGTTGTACTTTTAGTTTTATTCTGTTGTGTCACTGCAACTGTTCCACAAACAAACTGAAAAACTGCTAAAAACTAACTTTATTACTATATTATATTTAAGAACTTTTTTTTTATCTCAATCATTTTAAGTAGGGTTATTAGGAGCCATTTTAGAAGACCCAAAATGCTGCAGGTTGCTAGTCTACAGCATTCACTAAGGGTTCTCCATGCTTCACAAGACAAAGACATATAGTTCTCAAGACTAAAGCTGTTAAGGAAGGACAGTTTTTTTTGTGTTTTTCTTTTAATTTAAGTATAAATTTAAATCACAATGGATCTGCAGCAGGTCTAGAGGTAAAACACAGCATTAAATCAATGAATGAATGACATTAAAATGCTAGTTTTAGAACGTCCTTGTTGGTTTATTAAGGTTATCAAAGCTTCTGCTGCAGATGAGCGAGCTCAAACTCAGAGTCAGCGTCACAGTCAGATGGCTGGAAGATTCATTTTTTGCTGATCTGTATAATGACTGACCATTTCCTCTACACAAACATGAAACCAAACCAGGTTGCCACGGGAACAGGGGGAATGTGTGTTTGAAGAGCTACTCACTTGGGGGGAATGTTTTCCGGTCGACTGGACCAGTCGGCAACCCAGTCTGCGTCCTTCATCAGGATGTCCATGTCCCTGTCCCTGTCCCTGTCTTTGTCCAAGACATCCTCTTCAGACTGAGGAGGCAAAGACGTGTGTTATTCTATGAACACCACAAACAGAATATATTATGAATTTCTGCATACTCATGTTCTGTTGGCTTGCTCTAACTTCTAGCACGAAACACAAGATTGGACTTTAATGGTGGCAACAAAAGCAGTACAGATATTCAAATAAAGAAATTGTCTGTTTGACTGATGTTTCTATGGAAACTATATGCAGGACATTGCCAGTTTAGAGCAATGGAGTACCAATAGAGCTCTGACCTGACTGTCTCTTCTGCTGGTCATGTCCACGTCGAATATGATCTGTCCCTCCTCCTGGGGGGAGTGGGGCCTTGGGGGGCTGTGTATTGAAAAGCAACACAAACCAGATGTGTAAAGAAACAATGATCCTAAATGTGGATAAAGTGTGTGACTAAACATAAAAACACAGAAACATAAAAAAAAGCATATTTTATTGAACTTTTTTAGAGGTCTGGGAAGAAAAACGATGGAGCTAATACTATGGAATAGTAATAACTCCATAGCTAAAACTATGGAGTGTTAGCTTTCAACTGAAATATCAGCTGTGCTGCTGCCATCAACCCCTTCTCTGACTGTGATTGGCTGGATGTGCTCTCTTCATCCTCTGGCATGGGAGCTGGCTCAGAGCTCGTCTGCCTGGCTGCGCGTTTCCTGAATGGGGCCGCCTTTTACAGTTGCCATTTGTATCTCTGCTTCTGTCTCCTTGAACCCCAGTCGGCCTCAGCAGATGGCCGCTCACACTGATCCTGATTCTGCTGGAGGTTTCTTCCTGTTAAAAGGGAGTTTTTCCTCTCTACTGTCGCTACAAGCATGCTAAGTGTGAGGGATTACATTAAAGTCAATGAGTCAATGCAATCAACTGGTTTTTTCTAAGATAGAAAACTTTGAATCAATTTAACTGTATGATCTGTTGAAGTGTAAACTGCCTTGAGATGACATGTGTTGTGAATTGGTGCTACAGTCGCTATAAACTGAATTGAATTAATATTAATTTCAGTTCCACTATATCAGTATTAAGTGAATCTTGCAATTAAAATGCAGTTCATCAAAATCTAAATGCAAAACTGAGATCCCTTCTGAATGTATTGCTCATTACATAATACGTTTTCTTACATCAATAAATAATGTTTTTCAGTATCAAATGTTTGTTTAACACAATCAGCCTAATTTACTTTGTCAGAAACTCCACAAAACTCAGATGAAAGCATCAACAATTGCCTGGATCTGACAAACAGATCACAGTTTGTTAGACTGAATTGAGTCAAACTTGCAGAACAACAGGTGACATAACTCTTTGTTTGATGTGACTCTCTACACCTTAGATTTCCAATACATGACAGACTCTTGTAATTTACAGAAATACTTGGATCACTCTAATGTCGTTGAAAGCATCAGAGTTGGACAAGAAGCTGAGTGCAGGGATATGGTGAACCACTTTGTAGCCTGGTGTAGAAACAATCAACTAATGCTGAATTTGAATAAAACTATGAATATGATCATAGTTGTAGAAGCAGGAACAGGCCAAACACTGTTATCATTGGAGAAGGGGTGAAGGTGGTAGAGGAGTATAAATCCCTCAGAGTTCAGCTGGATTACAGACTGGACTGGAGACGTGACTATAGGCCTTCTACAAGAAAGGACAGAGCAGACTGGACTTCCTAAGGAAGCTTTTGCAGCAAAATGCTACACATCCTTTATCAGTCTTTTGTGGAGAGTTTGATCTCTTCCTCCAACATCTGCTGGGGGATAAAAGCAAGAGAGCAAATGATTTAAAATAGCTCAACAAGCTAATGAAGAAGGCCGGCCGAAATCCTCCAGAACCTTTGGGGATTATTAGACAAAGAAAAAAAATTTTCAACATTTTTCCCGGTATAACATGAGTCAGACCAGCATTTAATTTCTTTTTGGCTTTTTTTCAGTTGAACTAAATATCAAATTACACCATGGTGTTCTGGGTGGGTTTAAATGCATTAAGTTCTGTTACCATAGTAATCTCAGTTTCCAGGTGAGCCCAAATGAGTTTTGTTGCCACGGCAACCTACAGTAGGTAGGTGCATCACATGCGTCCAGGTTAGTTTTAATCAAGCCACATACTTTCAGCTTGACATTACTGGGAGATAACATTACAAATAAATGGATAAAAAAGTCAAATAATTTAATTTGGTTTGCAGTGTATATCTACTAAAAAAAATTAAACAAAATAAATGTTGCCTGTATACCTTCATAGGACTGGGTTCATTATAATATGTTCCTGTCCATAGCTTTTGAGTTCTATGTGAATCTTGTACAGAAAACTTTTCGGACTGTACCATGTGAAAGCACGTTGTTGATTGAATGTTCTTAGCTTAAAAACATCCTAAAGATGACTCACTAGTAGCTGAAAGTCCAGCTTGCTGATAAGGTCCACTTTATCACAGTTACACACCAGCACATGATGTGGCCACAGGATGAAGGGTCAGATATTTTGAAAGTATTAAATGAAATAATGAGCAAAGCCGTGGCAGACAACTTCTTGTTTGTTTTAGAACCAAAAAACACGACTAAAGGAAGCGTCTGCTCTGATTTCAATACAACAGGATCCATTTCCTACTAATAGGTTACTTATTTCACTGTTTTTCAAAATGACAGAAAATCTTTTACTCATTTATGCAGAGTGAAGACAAAAAAACATCCGGCTGGAAAATACAAATTCATTTCATTCTTTACATTTTCTAAGTCAATTTTTCCTAATTTTACAGCCAATGTAAGTGTCAGTGAAATAATTTATTTCTTGGAAAAATGTATGTTTATTTCTAATAGTTAAGACAATGTATTTTATGTTGTTTGGTTCACGTTTTGGGAATGTGTAAAATGATTGCATTGTTTTTTTGTGTTGAGCTATTTTTTGTTGAAAGTTATCGCGAGATTTGTGTATATGTGAAAAGCAACGCGACTTGAATAAACACAGAAGGAGCAGAAGCTTGGATCAGAACCATGTGGAGCAGCCTTGTGTTTACTGTAGCTGTTGAGGTATTTGTAGTTATGTTTGTAATATTTTGCAATGTTATTGGTTATGGTGTTTTAATTACTTTATATTTTAATTTAGAGTGGACGAGGAAGAATTTAACTGTTAAAGACCTCCGAAGTGGCAGGCGGTCACGAAGTAACTTCTGTTAAAGCCAGTGTCACCTGATTTTCTGTAAATGTATCGATATCTAAAGCTTTGTCTTCTATTTCTGTAGTTTTCACAGCGTTTAATAAAGAGCCCGTATAAAGGAAACTGTGCCAGTGTTGTCACTTTGGAGTTACAGCCAACATTTAAAGTTTTTAGGTAACACACAAAATCACATAGAGTTCTAGATATTTCCACTTTCCCACCCTTTAAATATGTATGAAAGATCAACTGCCAAAGCGTGTATGTATGGACCGACAAAAGAAGGATGAATCAAAACTGACTGGCTGATGCAGATCTTGAAATTCGATTTTTTTTATCAGAACTTCTTAAGACATTTATGGATTATTAAACAAATCTGGAACACTGATCGTCTAATATTGAAAAGTTTGGATCTTAAAGGAATATTACACCCAAAACATGATTAGCCTTCATTTTCTACTCACCCCCATGCTGAACAACACTCTGGAGTACTTTTTTGATATCTCAAATGCATCTGGAGATCTGGGAGGCTTCTTGCTGTCTGCTGACATTCAAATAATGGAGGTCTATGGCGCCCGAGACAGAAAGGTCCATAAAAGTCCACAAAAACGTGTCAATATTCCTCCATACTGCTCGTCCAATGTATTCCAAGTGTCCTGAGTGGGTAGCGTCCATAATTTACTCGAAACGAAGTCATTTAGAATGTTTTTAGAGCATAAACAGTAGTGTATAGGATTTCCTGAAAGCGCGCGCCAGCGCGTTCAGGAGGCTACGGAAGCCGGCAGACCAGATGAAAGTGCGCATTCAGTGTCTGCTCTGCCGATAATGCAAGCGTAGAAGAAGAAATGTGCTGTTTACCTGTGCAAAGAAAGAAACAACGAAAGAAAAATGTCTGAGGACTTCAGTGTTGAGGAAGAGCATAAGTTCTTTGCCGAGCTGAATGCGCACTTTCATCTGGTTTGGTCTGCCGCGGTTTCCGTAGACTCGTGAACGCGCTTTTAGGAAATACTATACACTACTGTTTATGCTCTAAAAACATTCTAAATGACTTCGTTTCGAGTAAATTCTGGATGCTACCCACTCAGGACACTTGGAATACATTGGACGAGCAGTATGGAGGAATATTGACACGTTTTTGTGGACTTTTATGGACCTTTCTGCCTCGGGCACCATAGACCTCCATTATTTGAATGTCAGCAGACAGCAAGAAGCCTCCCAGATCTCCAGATGCATTTGAGATATCAAAAAAGTACTCCAGAGTGTTGTTCAGCATGGGGGTGAGTAGAAAATGAAGGCTAATCATGTTTTGGGTGTACTATTCCTTTAAGTCTGAAAGCTTCAAACTGAATTTCACCGTCTTCTCCTGGTACCTGTCACAAGAAGAGTTGCTGCGGCTCGACTCGTGTTGGGCGTCCAGTAGGATCTTCTCCATGTCTCCGTTGTGGATCGAGGAGGACGATGGGACGTGCTCCAACCCCCCCACTATGGCCTCCTCTTCCTCCACCTGAGTGAGAGGCAGCAGACTTGGCCCAGGCGTGGACGAGGACTGGGCCTGAGGATTTCTGTTCATCCCCAACTCTACCCAGGACCCTACGTGGAGAAACCAAAAGGGCAATGTAATCCTTCCTTAGCCCTGTTTAACTTTTATCATTGTAATGTGCACTTTGAATAAAATAAGGTGGCAGAGAGAGGCACTGTGTGACTGCTGACACATGTACTGGTTTAGAAAACCAACAACTCCAAATAAGAAGATCTATCCTGACATTCTTCACCGCTTCAGAAGGTTAAGCCAGGATAAATCACATCAAGAGTCCAAGCAGGGACCACTTATATGTCACGGTTCTATTGTCATGTTATATAAACAACAGAAAAATGTCAGCACGATCCAGATTAAAAGTGTAATTATTAAATTCCTCTGAAGAAAAAACAAGCTGAGGTAATCACCAAAACATCCTGTGTTTTTATTGACATTCATCTTTATTTGTTTAAGATATGGGTCAATCTCAAGAAGGTTTTCCAGAGTAAGTGTGTGATGTGGCAGCTTCAAGCGAATATAGATCCCCCTCCCAGTATGAAAATTTTAAAAATTGCACATGCTTCTTGTGGGTAGGTGAGTTTAAAGATGGTGGGACACGAAGACTGTGGGAGCTCTGATAAGATTTGAGCCGAGATACTTGAGTCAATAAACCAATAAGTCAACATCCTGCTTAGGAAAAAGAGAAGTACTCTCCAAGGAGCAGGACTGTTTCACTCTAAATTCAGCAGAAAGTTGAAACTCTATATTTTTGTCACTAATCCAAAAAAATAACTAATTCTTGGTACCTTAGACAAAAAAGTGGGTTTCAATAAGGCATCTTAGGGGGAAAAAAATGTTTTTTTTTCTTTTGTATTTTTATTTATGACGTCAAATGATGAAAAACACAGAAAGACGTTTCTTGTTCCTGAGCTGAAATAAATCAACAAGTCAAACAGTCAGACACTGACAGGGTTCTATTTATTGCAGTGTGATGAGCTGGCAGTAAACAGTTCTGTATAAGCAGCTATTGGCTAGGGGATACAACGCTCCCACCGGCTGGTACGTGAGCTCCAGCATGGACTGGCAGCCGAGAAGGCACAGCCCGGCAGAGTAACGTTACAAATATAGAGGAGGAGGAGGTGGAGGAGAAGGAGGGGGATGGCTAAAAATCTTCTTCACCACATAGTTACAAAATATTTCCTTAACAGGTCACATAAAATAAGTAAACATCATAAACAGGATATATGCCAGAAACGGCGAAGCTACTCATCAAGTCAGCAATCGTGGTTATCCAGTGGATTACACAGCAGACCAGGGGCCATTGTGTTTGCTCGGAGGGCTAAAACCACGTTACCATGGCGCCCCTGAATCTGAACATTCTGGCCGACAGACAATATCAGCTGCTGGACGGGTTCAGAGACATGATGTGATCCCACTCTCTCCCAGGACCAGAAACTGGACCAAAGGGGAAGATAGAAGTTTTTTCTAAAATAACAGAACATGTTGGTCCAAAATAAAGGACAGGAAGCATGTGAACCAAGGTGCCTTCAAAAAATATCCATACCCTTTGAACGTATTCATATGTCATCCCTTTAAAACCTCAAACCTTTGTGCAGTTTTATGTGAAAGACTAATAAAAGTGGTTATTCGTTCTCTAAAGGAAAATTTCAATGACATTTTTGTACATTTTTTTACAAAATCTAACAATGACTTGTGTTGTATTCAGCCCCTCTGAGTCTGAAACATTGCAAGTATCAGAAAGAGCGGATACATTGCCTGGAACCAATAGTCTTTTTTTTTCTTAGATCGACAGATATGTGCATGTATTCGCAGATTCATCAGTGCTTTCCACAGCTATGCTTTAAAATCAGATTAAGCGCATGCATTACTGCTCCCTCTATTCGCTACTCATTGTTACCGTTCTGTTGATTTGTAAAAACATGTTTATTTTTCCTTCAATTGACATTAATGTTACATTTGATCTAGTTAGTTCATTGTTATAATTTAAAAAGAGGAAGATAAAGCAACCCCGGCTCCAGAAACTGCACCCCTCCCCCAGAAGAAATAATAAAAAAAAAATGGATAAAATAAATCTTTAGAGCATATCAGTTAAACTGCTGTCAAATTATATAGTACACGACTTAAAGTCATAGGGAAACGATTGTTCCAACCGTAGCATTTCCGAATTCTCCCGAGTGGTGCACGACTTTAGCGAATAAAGTGAATATGATTGGTCGTTTATCAGAAGGGCGGGATTGTTGTGGTGGAAGGTCCGCAAGCATGTTTGATTGTGGCCGGTGTCTCTAAAGCATTTTGCTAACCAGTTAGCAACTTAGTGCTAGTAGGTTCCCAATGGGAAATTCCATTGGGACCAAGTAGCACTAAATTTGCGACTTAGAAACGACACTGTCAAGGAACGCTATGGACAGCGGAAACAAGCAAGAGGAGGAGCGTTTTGTTTCAGAGGTCG